CAACCGATCATGCTGCGAATGGCATTCATGCGATGGTGATGAAGCAGTAGCACATGACTCCACATGAAAATATGTTCAGCTCGAGCCAAAGACAGAAAAATTGACCCTCTGAAGCAATCACCCACATTCTGACCGGAGCTGTCATCGACCTGGCTGACGGCCCCTCTTTCAGGCCTTCACTGTTCACTTTCATGGTCGTCCAGGGTCTTTCAACTCAACTTCTTCAACTCTCACTGCCCAAACTGCTCCGACTGTGTCATGCGGAAATCCATGTCAGGGAGGTCGAAATCTGAATGTTAATCTAAGTGAGTTGAATTCACACCGAATCCTAGGAATTTCAATATGACCTGATGCTGTCGCATGCTCATATCGGCGGATTGGAGTAAGTTGAGAGGCAAATGCTGAGAACAACTCCGACAGCCTGCCAAATGTTTCGTCCTTTGCTTAGCAAAGCGTGCGTTCCAGGGCAGATAGCCTAACGCAATCGCGGCCCTGAATTAGTTGGTCCTGCACTAAGAAGGTGTCTGCAGTCCTCATGGGAAGCCGAAGAATGAACAGGGATTATCATTCCATGCCAGTCTTTCCAACCCAAACACTACTTGGGACTCCAAGAATCCTCTGCAAAAGCTCATGTCTTCGCAATGTTCTTTCGTCCTCCTTCGCCCCGGATGACTTCCGGGGCTGCATCTTCTGATGGAGGTCCGCAAACCCACCAAGGCTGGGGGCGGTGTATGGTCCGCGCCGGGGAGACCCCCTAGTGATCTTGCCCCAACCAGCTGAGTAGACTGTAGACTGGTCTATTTCCCAACCAACCAGGGGGAGTCGGAACGCTCGAAGGGCTTAAAGAGGCGCTGCAGCGGAAATCAAAGGCGACACCCAGCGTGACCGAGTCTTTAGGTCGCAGGGTGTCTGAAGAAGTCGCAGGGGTGGCGAACCTGCCGTGCGCGAAACTGCTGAGCCGCAGTTTAGGAACAAACTCATCCATAGGTTGGAGCTGGTAGGAGCACGAGAAGTCGGGCTTAGAGAAGTCAAGAGAAGTCTTGGAGGGATTGGAAAACGTTCCCCTCGGAGGTCCGGAGCCTCCGCCCGTCAATCTGGGTGGCGCACACGGAGCCTCTATCTACTGAGGCGAAACCGACGCCTCAGCTCCGCGGCAAGCCCTCGTTGGGTCGGTCTGGCTCATTTTCAGGATGAGTCAAGCAAGCTACAAGCTGAAACCAACCACCAGCGCCCCTAGTAGACGAAATGTGTCCTATTCAGAACAGCTTGTGGCAAAGGTGTGACAAAGCAGAAACAGCTTGTGGCACTGTGGGTCCAAACCAGGGGACCTCTCTTGATCAGGAAAATGAACACAATAGTAGTCACAATAGATTAGATACAAGGGAGGTCAACCTACCAGCATGAAAACAAGCTCCAGGAGGTCAACCTTTGCCACGGCCAAGCCAGGTCAACAGGCGGACCCTTTCAGGCAACAAAGCAGCGGCAACCTGCCAGGACCGCAGCGGCAACCTGCAAGGACTGCAGTTCATCATCCAACAAGCCTTCTTAGTTCCATCATGTGCCATCTGCTGTACACATGAGTCCTCCACATAGACTCAATCTAGACTCAATGTAGACCCTGTACTTTTCAACAAAACCATTTCAATGTACCAGCTACTGTGACAAGTCTAGCCCCACTGAGAAGTTTTACAAGGCTTTTGGCCAAACACCTATGGATAGCCTGGCCAGCGAGGCTGTTGCTATTTAGCATGAGCATGCCTTTTTGTCGACTTCGCTTTGCTGACAGACTTCGAGTTCACTTCGCTAAAGTCTAAAAGTCTTTTCTCCCGGTCGTCGGGGGTGGATCTCACGAGCCACCGGTGCGAGAAGAGCCACCCGAGTCTTGCAGCACCGAGTCACAGGTGCGGAGGAGTCATCCGTCATCTGCTCGTGGCGAGGCGTCATTGCTCAGGATGCCCGTGCGCTGCATGCTGACCGCATGTGCCTGTCCAATACGTGCTGACCATCGATGCGAGAGATTCCAAACGGAATCGAGAGATTCCATGCTTGGTGGCCGTAACAGTGTCCATCTGAAGGTATTACTCTGAGGTATATTATTTGTAGATCGATGGGATGCTTCAACTTGAGGATTTTTTGACCAACAGCAATTTGCATCTCTCCGACTCACGTGGGCATGTGTCAAGGCTTCTGTTCAGTGCACTCACCTGAGACCATACTGTTGTATGACCTCTGGAAACAGCCTACAAAAGAACCTTGTTGAAAACACTTGAAAACAAATGTCCAAGCTGTTTCCAAGTGTGTTCAAGCTGTTGGTATCTCAAATATACCAAAACACTTGCAAAAAACATGGTTGATACCAACAGCAGTTTGCTTTTGTTCCCTGCTGCTTTTGGTATCTCCTCTTGTACCCACCCCGCATGATTTTCACGCGTCGATGAACACGGCCGGCCTCAATGAGCTTCGGCGAGGCCGCTGCCCCGGCCAAACGGGGAAGCAAATGAAACCTTGGGGATCTGTGGCCGTGTCCAGCCGTTTCATGTGGCACTTGGGGACTTGGGGGAGGGAGAAAGGGAAAAAGAAGCTTGGACAAGTGGGGTGACGTGGGGAAACAATTGTTCTCGTAAGTAGCCGGACTTGGGACCTCTAAGAAGAATGTGAAGTCAAAGTTAAAAGCCTTAAACCGCCTTAAACCTAAACCACATTTGGAAGAGGTGATTTTCATTGGAAACCAATGGGTCCACTTGTGCAGCCCGCAAAATCAGCCATCCATCCGCAAAGCAAATCACCGGACAGCCGAAACCGAAACCGGAGGCCAAACCGGACAGCCGTGAGAGCAGACCGGGCACCCGCAACAGACCGGGCCCCCTCACTTCTTCCGGATTCTTCCTGCAAAGTCGAAGATGCCATTGTCCGGCCTCGGCCACGAGGAGGTCACGCGAGGAGGTCACCGGCGACCGTAGCCATAAGCGCCGTAGCCAAATAAGTGGATCCCAGTAGGAGTGGTAGTCGTGGTGGTAGCGGTAGCAGTAGCAGTAGCAGTAGCAGTAGCAGTAGTCGTCGTGGTAGCGGTAGTGGTAGTCGAACTGGTAGTGGTCGTGGTCGTGGTGGTGATAGTAGTGGTAGTAGGTCAAGCTTAGATCTCCCCCTTGGACTGACTCACTGGCAACTCTTGAGGTCTGCAAGTTCGTTGGCTTTTGGTCCGGTCACCTCATGTGCTGCTTCCTGTGCTTCCCCCAAGTTCAACCTCTTACAAAGACTTCTGGGTCTCAAACAGGGAGACATCGGACCGCCAGGAAGCAGGAAAATAGACCCGTCTACCCATTGGTTGGGTGTCAGCCTCTAAAACTTCAATACACAGAATCCACGGTATCAACCCCATTCGTCGTCCCGAATCGAAACTGCACAGATCGACATCGAGCCGAACCGCACTGACCGTCAGCCGTCCCGAATCGAGCTTCGCGCATGAGCTTGTAATCGTGCCAGGGCTGTTCATGGGGCCATTCATACTGGCCAAACCAGCGGGGCGGAGAGTGGCGGAGGGTGGCAGAGGGGTAGAGCGGTGTTCAGCACCACTTTTTGGACCACCAAGACATGAGCAGTTGGTACCTGGATGGATCACACAACTTCATCTTGAGTTGTTAACAGTTTGCGTGACAAACAGCTGAGGAGTATCAAGTCCCGTGCAGACGTAGCGGGTCGTGTAAAGTAAAGCCAAAAACGGCTCAAGAACTCCTGCGCCAATAAGGGGTCTCTTTCTCGCTCACATGGTTTTGGATCAAGTGGTGCAAGAACTCCTTGCAGAAAAGCTCATCATCTTCAATCATACAGTTTCAATTACAAAGATGATCCCAGCAATCTAAATGCCTGGTGGAAAAAAAACGTTTCCCTTGACTCGTTGAACTCCAGTCGGCCTCCAATGGCACGACCCCGGCTTTCTTCCAGTCCGGCACAATCATCACCAGATCCTGCCAGGAGACTCACACGGCGCCACCAACCCGCTGCGGTCGGTGTTTTGGGGGCTAACCCACTCAGGAGGACAGCCCGCGCCTGACCCGCAGCTTACTCCCATTCCAGACCGTCCAGACAGGAAAAGTCTGCGGCTCGTTCGCTATGCGGTTTGGACGCGGAGTGTTTTCTGTTGTTTTTGTTCGTTTCAGACATCTTTCTTCAAACATTCAGACTGCAAAGAGATGTGCATTTCATGTATTCGAAAGCCGCAGTCCCGTGGGTGTACTCTCATCACCTGTCAGACAAGTACCTCTGACATTCGAGGTATCGACCATGACTGTACACCGTCATTGTCATAAGATATACCGTGGATAGCGCTAAAAAACATAGACTTAAACAGAAAACACATATAGTATATATATATATATAGAAAGAGAGAGAGAGAGAGAGACACTTAAAAAAAAAAAAGACTAACATCAAACAAATTTGACCTCACTCACAGGTCCCAAGAAACGTCCGACCGGTCTCACCATCGGTCCTTGCCCATCTTCGAGCCAACCTGGAGGAGATCACTTCGGCTCACGAGGGAGTGATCCCTATGAGTCCAAGCCCCCTGGCGCCCCTGGCGCAGGGCTTCCTCTCATGGGAAGAAGTGTTCCAGATGTGCTTAGTTAGCCAGTCACCTTTGGGCCTTTGGGATGAATTGCATGGAATTCCACTGTTCCTTCTAAGTCATACTTCAGGATGTCCTCCATTACTCCAGGTCCTCCAGGTGTGGCATCTGCAGCTCATTCTCGGATCCACATTCCAATCAACAGCCGCAGTAAAGGTCTCACCTTCGAGGATTTCTTGGAAAAAAAGGAAGACCGAACCCTGTACCATGCTCCGGTCGGTTTCCTTTGGAATCTCAGGAGCATTCTCCGCGCCTTGGTGTTCATGAACTGGCGAATCCGGTCGAAGATCCCTCGGGAGGCGGGGTGACGCTTCGGAAGCGAGGGGGGCCGAACCCGCCCATGGGCTGCTCCAGCTGAACCCGGTGGAAAGGGCTACCTTCAACTGCTCAGCACATACATAACCGTGCAATAGGAGTATAGAAAAAGGATTGACTGTCCTGAAGGGATCGCTGGTCTATACCATCTAGAAAAAGCACAGCTGCTGACCCAAAACCTTAAAGAACCCCGGTCCACCTTGAGGCCCCAAAAGCATCTCCCAGTTCCTCTCCACATCACCGCACCCCCAGCGCTTTTTGAGACGTCTTCCAGCAACTCGGCCATCTGTCCAGCAAGGGCGCGGTGGATCCTCTTTGCCAGAGCTTTCCGCGGCACCCGGCCGACCGCCGCGCTGCTCGTCTCACAGAGTTGCAGCAGCTTTTCCACTGCTTGGGGTCTGGAGGAGAAGTCAATGCCACCGGGACCGTGGGAAGGGCAGTTCTGGATGTAGCAGCCTTCGCTGATGATCATCTCCTGAGGCCCGAGGTCTAAGGAACGGACTGAAGGACTGAAGTCAGCCACCCTTTGAACTACAACTTGGCAGAAAAGCACAGGTTGTCACCCCTAGAGGACATCCACGATCCCAACCCGCTCATGAATCCATTCAAAACGAACTGCTGTAGCAATGGCCCCATTCAAAAGCACGTTCATGCTCGAACAAAACACCATTAAAATATATTTAAAATGATAAGGCTACTTCGACCACCTTTGACACATCTTGACCCATTTTCCGCACTCACACTCTGACAAACACACCACGCGGACGTGGATGGCACGGCCCCTCTCAGACGACTCGTTTCTTCTCTACAATGGACAAACAAGAGGTGAACTCCACTTCTTTGGGAACGGAACGTGAGTTGGAGTGTATATCAAAGACTATACCAGTGAGACCCCAAACAGTTTCAGCTGGTTTTTCTACCTCAACTCCTTGAAGTCCAACGTTGGTGGAAACTATATGTGGGAACAGCATGCAACCGAAAACCAAACGTTTGGAAACAGGATGGCATCACATTTGAAACGCTGCATCACAGTTGCATTCATAGCCACAAGAAAACAAAGGGAAACCGAAACAGCGCGGCCAAGCAGGGAACAAGGTCCGGACAAGTCGAAAGGGCCAGGGCCCGCGGTGCAGCCATGGACACACGAACAAGGGTGAAGAAGTGGCCAATCCCGGGCCTAGTGCCTGACAGTGAGTCACTGTGTCTCCCTTCTTGTTGGTCACTGTGTCCCCCTTCTTGTTGGTCACTGTGTCTCCCTTCTTGTTGGTCACTGTGTC